CAGCCATGTGGGAGTCCAGCACCTTTAACCACCATGCCACCTGCCAGCCCTTCAAGTAGCTTTCAAAACCATAGTAAATTCAGGGCCTTACTCCCATTTCCTTATAGATCTTAAAGTCCACAGAGAGATATTTCAAATGTCCCAAGCATTTTGAAATATTAACAATTATGAAATACCATAAAACAGATTGTATTTCTGACCATGCTCTGATCCGGCTTATTTTGTCCTTGGAGGTGGGAGGGAAAGAAAAGGATGTAGGTGATAAAAAGTATAGCCAGATGGAAAAAGAGTTTACGAGAAAAACAAACAAACAGAAAACGAACTGCAAAGAATTTAGTTCGGCCCCATTTGATGTGAAATGAATCTTAGCTTGGCTTCCCAGAAAATTACAGGGATCCTCGGCCACACAAGATGCATTCTTTTTCTCTGCATGTTTTGTCCTCTCCCCCTTGAGCTAGAGTAACCTGTGAGTTTCAGCAGAATGGAGTTCCTCGTACCCGTGTTCGTGCCCCTTCCAAACCATTGCAAGATTCTTTACATAGTCATTCAGCACAAAACTGTGGGCTGAATTCACTGATGCCTTTTATTTTTGGAGAGGTTTTGCTCGTGCGCTGGCCAGACAGACAGAGAGAGAGAGACAGAGAGACAGAAAGTGAGAAATCACCCCCCGGGTGGATGGCCACACCACAATCCCTTCTCCTCCATTCTCCTGTCAGGATCTCGGGCATGCATGCACACGCGCCCAGCGTGATTTTTTAAGCCACCGGGTCCGGGACGCGAACCACGGTCGACTACATGGGAGTCCAGTGACATAACCATTACGCTAACTGCTGGTCTCACTGATACCTTCTTCAAAGAAGCCCTCCTTATGCTTCCGTCCTGCAGGAGAAGAGCAGTCAGTATCCTTGACACACAAGCTGCATTCTGTTGTGTAGTTTCTGTGTTGTGTGTGTGTATTGGAGGCCTTATCTTTACTCAATAAATGCTAAACTTTTGGCCAAGAGAATGAAGGAGGCTAAAGAAAAACGCCAAGAACAGATTGCAAAGAGACGCAGGCTGTCCTCTCTGAGAGCTTCTACTTCTAAGTCTGAATCCAGTCAAAAATAAGATTTTTATGAGAAAGAAATAAATAAGATCAGATCTCAAATAAATAAATAAATGCTAAAGTCATTGGGCATAATGAGTGTATGTAATTTACTTAGATGACACATGGACTTTGTATAACCTTGTCCACTCTGGTATCTGTCATAAGCCATTTTCTCTCCAGAATGCAACATTTGCTTTGATGCTATCGGGCATCTTCTTTTTATACTGTCTTCCACTTTGATGTTACGATTTTCACCTTGGCTCTCTCTATCTAATGCTGTATCCCCCTTGCCTGTTAATAGGAAATGATTTTTCTCATTACTCGTTTATCCTTAAATGTAAATTGATTTGCTCAGGTATTTGCAGTTTAATCCTTTAGTCATTGTTAGGAATGAAAATTGTAAGTTCCTCTGATAGAGATTTTTGGTTAAAGTAAAGCAGAAGGTTGACAGGACGGATTAAAAAAAAAAAAACATTTATTCATATCCTAGGTTGTATCCATGTGGTGAGTTTCATGCCTGCTTTGAATCACACTCAGCCATAGAGATAATTAGATAAACAGATGCTACGTCTCTTCCACAACTTTCACCTCCATCTAAACACGTATATATAAATCCTTAGCACAATGAAATAAACTCTCCAGGGATTGGTATGAACATATGCTCATTTGAAAAATCCCATGGATATTCTTTGTTATGCTCGCATGGCTGAGAATCATTATGCCAGACCCTTCTATTTGATATATCATTGAATCTCAAAATAACCTATGAGGAAGGTCATTCCACCAAGTTGTATAGAGGGCCTAAGTGTCTTACTCAAGGTCACAAGGCTTGTGTTTGTTAGAGAGTCAGAATTTGAATTCAAGTCAGTCGGACTCTGAACTTAGGATTTTTTCTATATTATTGTCACTGAAATCTGGTGCCACTAAAGAACAATTCTTTAGAATACACCCCTCTAGTCAGTGGCGGGCATGGCTGGTGGCTAGGGTGGGTCTCAGTCTGGGACCCAGGAAGAAAGAGAGGATACACCCATTTGGGTAATTTGAGAGTTTAATATTGATTATTTGCAACAGTGTGAGCAATACCCTAGGGCTATGGTGGGTAAGTTTAATGCTTGCCATCCTGAAGGAGCAAGCCTTAGTTTAATGGAATCTGGAGAGAGAGGTGGTATTTCTAGAAAAATGCACCTGTTTTAGGTATGCAGTTCTATCAGTTCTCACACACATGTATAGTCATATAGCCAACACTGCAATCGAGATATAGAATACTTCCATCATTCCAAAAAGTCAAAAAGCTTTTTAATACCTTTATTCCTACTCCACTGTCGGCATCCACCCCAGGGCTTGGGTCTGGCTGAATCATGATCAAAGGACTGATGGTGAGGAAGAGAAAGAAGACGAGAAAGAAAAAGCCCTCCATCTTGCCAGGACCTGGGAATTGGGAAGAATGAGACAAAGGCATAGAGTGGAAATGGACACAGGCAGCCTGAGCCTAGGTAGCCCAAGCAACTTGTCCCGCCCAGATGAACTGGACGTCTTTATTTATAGTACAAGGAGACATTACACATGTATGTTTCATGATACTTCATAGATTGGTTGCCAGGTTACAGACAATAAGAAGCAATTAACAAATCTATATGGGTTTAGTCATACCAGGGGCAAGGTGTATCCCTTGGTGATAATCCCATCAAGAGAAAGTCTCATCTTCTTTCCTAATGCAGAGAACTAGCTGTGAGGTGTGGGGAAGGAGCTAAAGAACTTCTCCATAAGGAGTGCACCACCACACCCAGAGAAGGCTAAAGAACCTTTCAGATGCAGGGCAGGGACTGGACTTTACTAATTGGGGTCAAGATGTTTCTTGAAGTCCATCAGATGTGTCTGTTGGAACGCCCCTAGTCATTTCCACCCTTTCTCTGTCTGCAGCCAAGGTCAGGGAAAGACAAGTTACAAGGTTCTGCCAAACCTCAAAAGAGCAGGTGGTGTTTGCTCAGAGCATGTCCCCACACCTCAGATTCTCTCTCTTAAACGTGTCCCCACATGCCACAAAGTATTTGCTAGCAAACTTTGTTTCTTCTGATTTCAAACAGGAAAATTGGTGACAGCAATCAGCTGTTCGCTGCACGTAGTAGGTGCCTTTATGGAAAAGTATTTCTTTTTTTTCTTCCTCATCTTTCTGAGTAATATAAACTATCCATGGCAGTTATTAATTACCTCTGTGTGTGTGTGTGTGTGTGTGTGTGTGTGTGATTGTTGGAAAAGTCATGATGCATTTTTGCATAGAAAAACACTGGAAAAATATGTCTTGACTTTTCCAGCAGCCTAATATAATGGAAATAATAGAATATATGTGATATATATATACACAGCTGAACAATAGTTTATAACCTTTGCTGCACACTGAAATGATCTGGACCTATACTCACTGATCTGCTAGCTAGGTGACACCTCATTAAACAGGATGTTTGGGGTTTGTTCCAAGGCATCACCAATCTAAGGCTTTTCAGGTATTTCAATATTCAGCCAAGGTTGACATCCCTGAAATAGACCAATTATTCTCAACTCTGACGACACAGAACCTCCTGGGCAAGTATTTAAAAAATAGCGATGCCTTTCACCCTCCTCCTTCCATTCTGATTTATACAGCTTGTTCCTAAAAGTTGACTATAGGGAAAAAAATAAGATTTGGGTAACTTATGTCTCTAAATGGTTAGGCTCCATTTAATCAAGGTTTTATTATAGTTGTGGGTGTATGGTAGTGTTCGATAAATGTTAAATGGAGGTTCAAATCCCACAGTGGAGTCAAGGAGAGTAACGTATGATCCTTCTTGAAAATAAACTGTTTGTGTATTTGAAATCATTATCTCGGGAAACTATCACTTTCTGAAAATGGTCCTCCTAGGTACTTTACTTCAAATAGTAAGCCTTGTATTTTAAGAGAACACTATATTTCAACTATGTTTTCTCACCATAATATTAAGCCATATATATATATCTTGCAGCACTTTCATAATTCATTCCAAGGAAATAGACAAGACGTAAGATTAAGATGTAGGATAAGATTGAAAGCAGAGTTCCATTTGGAAGCCTAAGTGATGTTATTGCACCCCAGGGCCTGGAAAATACTGCTACTTTGTAAAATCCAGAGAAGGCGCTTGCCTGCTTTTACAGTGGCTATGTGTATACACACACACACACACACACACACACACACACACAAAGGACATCTAACACAGTGGCCAGGGCAGCACCGAACTGTCCAGTGAGACAGATCCAGGACTAGCAAACATTTATCTATATCATTTTCAAATTCCAGAAGCAAGTAACTAATATAGCAAAAAACCGGTTTTTTTTTTTTTTTGTTTTGGAGAGGTTTTTGCTATAGGGTGCATGTGCTCGCCAGGAAGACAGAGACAGACAGACAGAAAGCGAGAAATCACGCCTCAGGGGGGATGGCCACACCACAGTCCCTTCTCCTCCATTCTCCTCTCGGGATCTTGGGCACGCACGCACATGCGCCCGGCATGAGCTTAAGCCACCGGGTCTGGGACTCAAACCGCAGTCGACTACATAGAAGTCCAGTGACATAGCCATTATGCCAATTGCTGGTGCCAACAAAAAAAACTCTTCACCCTAAAGCTATTGATGACCTGGTATAACAGAAATGCTCATTAAGCAGCCATCTCAGACTTCATTGTTTCAGTATCCATTAAAGGCTCTCAGTGTTTTATTTCATCCTCAAACCTAGACAAGTGCGACAAGCAGAATTTTTCCTAAGATAAATGTTTTTTTTCATCCTCAAACCTAGACAAGTGCGACAAGATAATGTTCTCGATGTAAAACAAAATCTATTTTATGTCATTTGATCCGCCCACTTTCTATTCAGGTCTTCTATTCTTTCTCCCCCCTCTTTTTTTAGGACCACCTCAGAAAATAGTGTCACCTAAACAGGAACATGAAGACAGGAAACATGACAAAGCCACAGATAAAGGAAGTGAAAGTGGGACTTCCTGTAATGAGCTCTCCACTTCCAGTTGTGACAGCCACTCGGAGGCCAGCACGCCCCAGGAGAACGCACCCAGCGCCCAGCAGGCAGCAGCTCACCAACCGAACACCTTAACCCTGGATCGCCCTTCCAAAAAGGCACCCGTGCAATGGATGCCCCCACCAGACAAACGCAGAAACAGTGAACTCTTTCAGACACTCATCAGCAAGTCCCGGGAAACCAATCTTTCCAAAAAGAAAGTCTGTGAGAAGTTAAGTGTGGAAGAAGAAATGAAAAAATGTATTCAGGATTTTAAAAAAATCCACATTCCGGATTATTTTCCAGAGCGCAAACGCCAGTGGCAATCCGAACTGCTGCAGAAGTACGGGTTGTAGTGCTGCTCCCGTTCCGTAGAATTTCAATGACATGCGGTGTTTACTATGACGTCACCACCTGACTGACGTCACCACCTGACTGACGTCACCACCTGACTGACGTCACCACCTGACTGACATCATATGGTCGGTGTGATCTTTGCTGCTCTTATTGTGAACAGTGGATGTGGGACAGTATTTTCTTTCATTCTTTTGTTGTTGTTTTTAAAAACATTATAAAAGAGGAAAAAAATGAAACCAATAAATGTTGTATCAAAATGAGGTATCCAATTCAAACTATTTTGCAAGAATGCAAATAAAACGTGCATGATCAAGAAGCTTAGCATCTTGATATTTGAAATGATTATGGTCAACCGGACCTGTTTGACATTCTGTAACTCACGGAAAACAGATCATCACATCACACCAACTAAAATGATGATATAGATGAAGCAACAGTTAAGTCAAATTTTAGGTGACGGTGTTAGGATCCAAATCCGAAACTGTTTAACTGTTAATGCAATAAAAAAAAAAGTATTATTTTTGCATGAGCACAATGCTACAAATAAATCACAAGAAATAGGGACGATCTGTTTGTTGCTTGGAAAGAAAAAAATTACAAAAAAATAAAGCCAAAAAAAAAAAAAAAAGCCAAAAAAAAAAAAAAAAGCCAAAAAAAAAAAAAAAAGCCAAAAAAAAAAAAAAAAGCCAAAAAAAAAAAAAAAAGCCAAAAAAAAAAAAAAAAGCCAAAAAAAAAAAAAAAAGCCAAAAAAAAAAAAAAAAGCCAAAAAAAAAAAAAAAAGCCAAAAAAAAAAAAAAGTTTTAGGCACAGCCTATAAATGTTAAGCTGGCTAGAAGATTGACTTTTCTTTGTTCTGGACGTGTGATTTTTTTGTGTATGTGTATGGTGTTTCTGTGTGTTAAGATGGTGTAAATATACCTTATACTGTTGTGTTATGGCACCGAACTTCATCTATTAAATGCTAGTCATGATTATTTCTGTGAAATGAGTCTTTCACATCAGGTTGTGAAAATGGGTATATAACGATCATCTGAAAGATCCTATTATCATGTTAATCAAAATAATTGAGGGAAATGGTAAAGAGCTTTATGTATTTATTAAAAAAGGGAAAATGTAGTAGAATTCCTTGGTTTCTATGGACTCTTCTTTAAATACATTCAATTGTTGGAGTGTCTTCAATTTTTCTGTAAAACTCCAGTCTGTCGAATGGCCTGTTCAGACTTCATGTTCACAAGTTTCAACATAATTCAAGATGGGTATGGAGTCAGTACCAGATAGCTTTGCTATTGATTAATAAACCTTGAACTCACAAAAGAAAAAGACCTCATTTGAGAATCCACTAACGTTTTATTTTAGATTACATCCAGATTAAAAGCCTTTCCAAAAACAATTGGGAAGTTACCTCTTACAAATCAAGAGACAAAAATGTCACTAACAATCTAAAAAGTCAGCTTTTATTATAATAATCTAAAAAGTCAGCCTTTATTAAAAGCGGTTTCTTCCTGATCATAGATCTATATAATTTCTTACTGTAAGCCACAAAACTTTGCCTTTATAATTTCCACGAAATACATAAAATGAAATTTCACTAAAATATATCCTAAGGGGAGTAAAAATATCTTCAAATAGAACTCAGTCTCCTCTGTGGTTAGCTGAAATAGAAGCTGAGTAGCACTTGTGGTATCAATTTTTTTCAGCATAATACAGGGAAATGAACATTACCAACTCTAAGTTAAAAACACACGCACACACAAGGTCCAATTTATAAATGAATTTTTACATTTTTAACTCTACCATTATATGAAAAATTATCCGAAGTTGCCTATTAAAGAAAACCCACATACTTGATTTGTTTTGAATTATTTATCAGGCTTTAGGAAAAGAGCTACTCTCACATTCTGCATTTCGTTCGGGAAAGGTTGACAGTCCCAATGTGGCTTCAGGTAGCTGCAATACACTGGGGAATGTATAGAATTTGGAGGCTAGGTTGCTAAATTCAAATCCCGCCTCTGCCACTTACGGTCTATGTGATTTTAGGGATAATATCATAAAGAAGAGTTAAATGCTATCATCAAAGGAAACAACACTAACACTACTGAAGCTGGAGGTGGAAAGCAAGGTGGTAGGCATTCCAGATTCCAGGGACCAGCACTACCACATGGGCCATTTGGAAGTAAGAGGGACAAGCTGTTTGGTAGACTTACAGCCTCTAAGGAGTCACTGTCACTTTCAAAGATGCCTCCAAAGAAAGTTTTTTTGTTGGGACCAGCAGTTAGCGGCGTAATGGCTATGTCACTGGACTCCCATGTAGTCGACCACGGTTCGAATCCTGGACCCGCTGGTTTAAACTCACACCGGGCGCGTGTGCGTGCATGCCCAAGATCCTGAGAAGAGAATGGAGAAGGGATTGCAGCGTGGCCATCCCCCCTGGGGGATGATTTCTCGCTTTCTATCTCTCTGTCTCTCACTGTCTCTCTGGCGAGCGCATGCGCCCTATAGAAAAAAACCTCTCAAAAAACAAAACAAAACAAAACAAAAAAACTCAAAGATGCCTCCCAAAGCCAAGAAAGAGAGGGAAAATTAGTGTCTTACTTCCTTCCTTCTAATTTCCCACCAATGCCTTCCATTTGCCCAATTTAAGTGGAAACCAGTTGGCTAAGGAGCCTAGAGAATGCAATTTATACAAGTGATTCTCCTTGTGAGAGAGATATGTCTCTCAAAAAGTACCTTCCTCTGTTGTCCTCAACACAAAAATTCAAATAGAATCAAAAGAGAAAGAATTTGGTAACAGCGGACGTGTTCAGATCTTCATATATCTACAGCCTAAGAAAAGTGATGCCAAGGAGCATATTTAGTCTGTAGTCCTTTTCATTTTAAATGTATTTACTTATTTTCTTCTATGAGGAAGAGAAACAGAAAGAGACAGAGAAACAGCATTCCAACAGTGTCTTGACTCCACAGTCTACCCCAGCCCCAGCCCCAGCGCCTGCAGGCTCAGCACAAATTGGCAATCTTCTCCTGTCGGTCACCTGGTATTCATGGTGTTTTATAGCTGTGGCCCTGCCCAGCCCCTGCCTCACAGGACTGGTTACCAAATTGGAATAAGGATTCAAAACCACGGTATATAAAGGAACTCACTTCAGTAGTGGGCTATTGAGCACTTTCCATATACCATACATCTGACTTAAAAGTCAAGAACATGTTCATAAAGTACAAATTAGCAGATACTACCCTTGAGAGAAGGCTTATACCGTGATTCTCACAAACCACCATGTTTTCTAGAATCTGGCTAGTCTCTGGTAGGGATCAAGGGAGGCAGTTAGAATAGAGATTGTCCCCTGGACGAAAGGAGACACCAAAATTTAAAGATAAATTGGGCGAAAATTGGCATATAAGACTCCTTTTCCAAAGAATCTGGTGATAAAATCTAATGGTCACCAAAAGTAAAAAAAAAAAAAAAAGATAAAAGAAAAAAACACTGAAGTAGGAGCCGAAGTTGACTATTCTTGTCCAGTAGATACCCAATTTTTTCTTCTTTTTCAAACATTGTTCTTTTTAATAATTATTTATTTTACTCTATTTATTCATTCATTTATTTGTTAATTTGACCAGAGAGAGACCGAGGTTGAGAGTGAGAGAGAGAGAGGAAGTGAGAAAGCAAGCCACCAGATTCAGGACTCGAACCCTGGTCGGCCATGTGGGAGTGTCCAGCGCCTTAACCACCATGCCACCTGCTGATCGCGATACCCAATTTCTGACAAAATATGTTCCCATTGCTAGTTCAGGTGGGAACATTGCATAATAAAATGACAAAAGGAAATAAAGTTAATTGAGATTTTTTTTGTTGTTCTGAGCACATGGAGCAGACATACATTTTCCTATTTCTCCTACTACGTATGACCAAAACTTTAGATATTATGTACACATTTAAGAACACTCTGTCAGACTGGAAAAAGAAGAAAGGGTGGTTGGGGATATTGAAATGTAAGAAGCAACGTGGTGGTGGATTCCCTGGGTTTTTTATGTCATGTCCCAGATTTGGAGCTAGAAATCTAGGTGCCTGGAAACAGCAATAGATAGAGACAAAACAAGCCCCAATGAAAGGCTGCTCTCTCTAGCCCAAGGGCCAGGGAAGGAGTCGCAAGACAGCACACTTAGCTAATAACTGGTCTGCTGTGTCAGATTGGGGGCAAGTAGACAATTATCTTTATCATTTATATTAGTTATCATAAGGCTCTCCACTTTTTATAGAATAAAATCTGAATTTTTTTGGGGGGGAGAGTTTTTTTGTTTTTTTGTTTCTTTGTTTGTTTGTTTGTTTTTGTGATAGGGCACATGCACTTGCCAGACAGAGAGACAGAAAGTGAGAAATCACTCCCCAGGGGGGATGGCCATGCCGCAATCCCTTCTCCTCCATTCTTCTCTCGGGATCTAGGGCACGCACGCACACGTGCCCAGCATGAGTTTTAAGCCACCGGGTCCGGGACTCGAACCACAGTCGACTACATGCGAGTCCAGCGACATAGCCATTACGCTAACTGCTGGTCCCAAAATCTGAATTTTTTAATACCACGTTATAGGCCCTGAATCGTGACTCCTGTCAATTTACCTTTGCTCTACAACAAACCACTACAAAATCTAGTGGCTTACGAAAAACACTTATTGGGACCAGCAGATGGTGTAATGGCTACATCACCGGACTCCCCTGTAGTCAACTGTAGTTCAAGCCCAGGACCTGAAGGCTAAAAACTCACACCAGGTACATGTGTGTGCATGCCCAAAATCCCAAGAGAGAAATGAAGGAGAAAGGATTGCAGCATGGCCATACCACAGGGGAATGATTTCTTGCTTTCTGTTTCTCTCTGTCTCTCCAACCAGCACAAAAATATTTATCAAAATTCTCTCTTAAAAAGAGAATGCACGGGAACCAGCAGTTAGCGTAATGGCTATGTCGCTGGACTCCCACGTAGTCAACCGCGGTTCGCGTCCCGGACCTGGTGGCTTAAAACTCATGCTAGGCACGTGTGCGTGCGTGCCCAAGATCCCGAGAGGAGAGTGGAGGAGAAGGGATTGCGGCATGGCCATCCCCCCTGGGGGATGATTTCTCTCTTTCTGTCTCTATGTCTCTGTCTGTCGGGCGAGCACATGCGCCCTATAGCAAAAAAGCCTCTCCCCCCCCCAAAAAAAAGAGAGAGAGCGCACAAAAGAGAAAGCCACTTATCAGCTTGCAATTTACCTATTCATTGGAAGAGCAAAAAAGAGTGTGCGACAATTTTCAATCTACTATATTCACATCTAGAAGCAAACTCTTCATACCAATGACAGCAATTTGCTGGGACTCTACTCACCACCAGCTCTCACCCTCCTCAAGACCAAGAACACACAGAAACGTCACCTTTTGAAATCTTACCCATTCTGTATGTTCTTATTTAAATGACACCTACTCGTCAAAGTTTTCTTCAATCTCGCAGGACAAAAATGATTAATCATTCCATTTTCAGATATCTCAGATCGCTTCAAAAGCATCTTTGCTAAACCTGTCATTTGTTTCATGATGTGTACGGGTAAAAACGTACACTTGTAGTTCTTATTAGAATAAAATATAT